AGGGAAACCGTAAAATATAAACAAATTAATCACATTTTTTACTTTTCCTTCCGTTTCCACGGAAGTATGGAAAATTGTGTTCTATTATTGTTGTAATTTTTCTGGTGACAGCACATTAAACTGTTGGTGTGGATTGTAACATAATTTCTGTGCTTTGTTCTTACATTCACTTATGTTTGGGATTTAAATAAATTGTAATTATTCGTAAGTAATTATCATTTACATATTATTATGTATTAAAGCTTTTTGTACAGTCGCGGAATGAAAAGGTTCGTCACCTTAGTGTCGGTTTTCGCTTGCACTCGGTATTATAAGAGTCAAACCTGCCAACATAACCACGGTAATAATATCATACAGTATTGTAACTTCATATAAACAGACGAAACGAGAACTTTCTTTCGAAATTCAAATCTCGGTATGCACTCGGTATGCAAAAGTCGGGGGTGTCGCGAATGTGCCGAATGGACGTCGGTGGCCAAGTGTTGAAAATGACAACACTGATTGAATTTGACTGACCGTCATTTACGGTCAAAAACTAGTCAAATTGTCATTTTCAGTCAGTTTGATTTGAAATGAAAATTATATTGTATTAAACCAGCTTTTGCCCTTGACTTCGCCCGCCCGAAATTAACGTAACAGATCATTATGATTATTAAAGTTTCAAAATTATCTAAGTAGTTTTTACTAAATTAAATCTACTAATCACAAAACAACACACATTTGTAACCTATTCCATTCACAAAGTATTTTGTTTGTCTAACTAAATGAAAAAATACAATCACAAAACTATACATATAGAAATTCTAAGTAGGCAGATGTAATTAAAATGGGTACTGTAGGTGGGCAGCCCTATCGCATGTTGTCATACTGTGACGTACCGCGCGACTGTTGACATTTATTTCCAAAATATGGGCGAGTTGGAATACTGTATAGATAGTATTACCGTGACATAACCGTGCAAGAAACAGTGCTGCTAACATTTAAATAAATATGACGTTTGCTAACGAATAAGGTTTTGCTTGTTTATTTTTCTATCCCATCAGTGGAATGTTACAAAATGTAGTTTTTTTTATTTAATAGATAATGGCAGGTTGAACCAACAAGAAGGTTTTGGTTTATCAATCATAATAATCTTCTTGACAAGTTAAATCGTCAAACAACTTTGATCTGAATAATTTTGAACTTTACTGACGAACAGTTAAAGATCATTTTCTCTAACTCGAGATTATTCTGTAACATAGTTTCAAAAGGTAATATGTGCTCGCGATTCGTTGAAGGATTCAATTTGAAAACTGACGAACCTTTTCATTCCGCGACTGTACTTACGGTGATGTTTGTTGACCTACTTAGTACTTACTAGATATAATATGAATGTGAACACTTGCCCCCAGCGTGAACACATACGCCCGTATTCACAAACGATGCATGCTTAAGTGAAGCAGCAAATCAAACGCACAGCGTTGAATAGAGCTTTGTGATTAGTTCGTGTGTCACCCTGTGCGTCCACGCGCACTGTGAGACCTCAGAGTAATGTTTGTGAATACGAATATTGATGTTGCAGATGCGAACCACCAGGCCAGGGGGCAGACGAATAACAAAATCAATACATAAGCAGGTAGGTATTATATTTTAATAAAGGCTACTCACTGCTCTTTTTGTTAATTAAATAAAAACTAAACCTTCTAATCAAAGCTTTTGATCTTTCAAATGCCTATTTAACTAGTAAAAAATTTTCAGCCACAGAATTTAAAATTTTCTTTCGTTCCATCTTAATCCTCGTTAAAATATGTATGCCACTTGCTTACCGATCACAAACGAGTTCGTTACTTTATCTGCGTGTTTCGTTATTTCCCACCTTGTCCGTTAATCATCACGGGGTGCTCTGGTTTAATGATCCCCACCCCCCCCAGATTAAGGGTTGCATAATTCATGGCCGCCTTGCCCTACGGAAAAACAAATTTACAAAAAGGAATGAAGGAGGAGTTTTCTTTTTAGTGTTGGATGCTTATTGGGATATTGTTAGTGGAGAAATGTTATTTTAGGTACAAAGAAGATTATGATTATAAGGTAACTGCGGCCCGCCCCGGCTTCGCGCGGTTGCAATGGAATTTCTCGGCATTTCTCCTCTATAATTNTGCGCGTGCGCACAAAGGAATGAGACCGCTCGGACACCGAGCCCACAGCGTGGTAGGGGTGGGGTTGCCCGCTCTTTTGTTTTTTAATACTACTACGCTGAATATTGTGTGCGGATTGGGTTGTCGTACAGGGGTACTACATGGTAAAATAAATCTCGGAGGCGAAAGCAGGATAATATGCATGTTTTATACATATAAACATTCCTCTTGAATATCTATCTGTTAAAAGACCGCATCAAAATCCGTTGCGTAGTTTTAAAGAACTAAGCATATATAGGGACAAACAGACTGGAAAGCGACTTTGTTTTATACACTTTGTTGTGTTTGTTTTATATTATATTATAGTGACTTGTATACCTACTTGTGACTATTTAGTTAAAGCGCAAATCTAGTTTTAGATTATTCTTATCAAAAGAGTCTTGACTAAATGATACGATAAACCAACTGCTAATAGTACCATGTTTTGGGATTTTAGCTACTAGCACCTTCAGGATAAAGCATAAATTACCATAAATGTGTCCCAAGTATTTTTTTCAGGACTTTTTATACAAGATTTCAATAAGTACGGATGACAGCGCGTCAAACACACTGTGGCATCTTACTCATATTGACAGCGCGTCAAGCTTAAACACTGTGGCATCATAAGTTACCTTGCAATATGTTCCCATCAGGAGAAAATCGACTAAATCAATATTGAGCAATCATTCTAGACATGCGGGAGCATGTTAAGCCTAGTTCCAGCGAGGGGACTACACCGTGCGTATATTTAGACTTGAAATGTGATTGAACGATGACAACTAACAACAGTTGTCAGTTAGGTAAAATTTTATTTTAGTTGGAAAAAGACAAAAAGTGGTAAATGGGTTAACGTGCGGGGGCTGCAAAATCATGTTGTGACGTCACGCGCGAATATTGGAAATTTTTGAAAATTTTAAAAAGTCCGTAAACTTCTCGAGGCTCTATCTTCGGTAATACTGGATGGATTGAGGTGAAATAAAAACTAGTGTAATGTGTGTGATCTAAACTTTAAATTAAGTCATAATTTAACTTAATATTACAACTTATGCGTGTTGTCCATTACAACGTGTGATATATCATTGGAAAGAAGAGAAGCTAAAGATATTTTCAAGATTATTGGGAATCCATTATCACCATATTTTTTTTTTAAATCGAATTCGAAGTAGAATTTTTTATCGTGGTTTGTACTTTTGTTAGACTTTGACGGCTCGTAACTAGCTATTCAATCATTATTTGGATCAGAAATTTATTTTATTTGAATAAAGACATATTTGATATTAATATCAAATTAAAAAAACTTTTGAAATCACGCGAGAAAAAAAATTTCAGCAGTTTTTAGATAAAATTTCGGAAAAATCAGAAAAAAGTATAAAAATTGACATATCTCCTAAACTATAAAACTTTAGTCACAGAAAGTGAGGTTCAATAATTAGCAAATGACCTCCTCTATACGCGTATCAGCTATGGCGGGTTCAGTTCCAGTCACCCTGTATTATTATCATCTTATTCATTAGCCTTATTTCGTACTCACTGGAATACAAATTCCAATATTTCATAATGATTTCGTACACTACTGGTCACAAGATAGTATTATTACTCGTAAAAATGTAAGTAAAATAATGTACAGTGGACAGCACGTCCGACTATTTGCAAAATAGCAATGAGGGCTATCGTTTTTATACTTAACAGTTGGCACCCCTGGCGATTGACAGGACCTTACTCTACAGTGGCGCCATCTTGATGAGTGCAAATGCGATAGTCCTCCTACCACTTTAGCGCTCACAAGTTGACGCCACTGTCTTCGCTACTAGCAAGTGACAGGACCTTACTCTACAGTGGCGCTAACTGGTGAGCGCTAAAACGATAGCCCTCATTATTTCAACTACATACAGCCACTATGTCTAAATTAGCTTGATCTGCTGTTGGCCGAACTATAGTAACGTAGTCATCAATTTAAAATACTACACAACACTACGAGTACAACAAAGCTTAGTAAGACAAGTGATTGTTAGAACACTAATATCTAATAAAGTATTTTACCTTCTCCGACGGCTATGGAAGAAAAGAGAAGAAAGATTAAATTAGGAGTTGGGTGTTAGAGAAAAGAACTTTAATTTCTAATTGTTATTGAAGTGTCTGCAATTTTGTTAATTTATAAGTTTTATGCAGATTGATATACTAATTACTGTTAGCATATTCAACAATCAATGCCCTTTTAGTGTTGTGTCCATAGATATTACGTAACTCAAATAAAGTGGAACCCAAAAATTCAATCCGAACAAATTAAAGAAAAAACACACCAAGTAATAATTTATAAAGAAAAACATGCGCATTCCAACATGTAACACCGATATCTGTATATACAGGGTGTCCCAAAAAGTAGTGTCAAGCCGAAACCCAGAGGTAAAATACCACTACGGCGCCGAATCACCGCGACTTTTGATAGTTTTCGAGTTATGATTTTTTTACAACATACAGAATTTTCAACTTTTGTAGTTTACGTTCGTGTTATGGTTTTTTTTTATCTTTATAGAGGTCTATTAGGACACGACAGCCCCATGGAACCTTAAACTAAATTTACAATTTAATGGATATCACGCCAGCGGGACAAGGGAATCAATTATAGAAAAATATATCTGCCAAATGTTTAGCGGCAAATGTTGGTCCAGATATTTTTTTATGAATACACCTATGTTATAATTATTCAGACTATATTTTTGCATAAATGATTCCCTTTCCCTTTGAAATTTGACACATTCTAAGAGGGCTGGGACTACTACTTTTTGGGACAACCTGTATACTATGTTTTAAGCACAATAAAAATATCTTATTAGGATGTAAACCTACCTTCACATTTCGCGTCAACAGCACAAAGTTTTGCGGGTCGATCATGTAAGCCCCGCCTGCGGGCGCGGCGGCCCCGGTGGTCCGTTTGGGGCGGTCCCATATTCCCACGTGATCCGCCCCGCTGTCGGTACTGTTGTCCACTAGACAACTGGACACACTCTCTTTGAGAATGTTCTGGTGGGGAAAGAAATATAAGTATAATTTTAGCGTAAATAGAAGGGTCAAAGAGAATGTTAGACATTGCTGCACCCAATATTATGTACTACATAATACAAATATGGATGAATCGTGAAACATTTGACATTTTCATTACTTCGAATTCGTGAACAATGGGATTCTTCTTCTGTCGTGTGAGTTGTAATAACCGACTACTAAAACATTGTAAGAAACACGTAACGTGTTTTCTTTGCTGAAATAGAAGCATATTTTGTAGAACCACAACTACAATGCAAGGCTGGAAATAAAAAGCATTATTTCAAATCGGCGCTCATTACTCTTTTATATGCATTTTTACAAAGGTTACAGATCAAATCTCACCTCAAACTCCTTGGTGTGTTTGTGCAAAGCTTTGTGCGCTTTGTCAACTGTATCCTTCACGCTCCAGTAGCTCAGGTCTCGATCCCAGGAGCAAATCTTGACGAAGTCCCTCAGTTTCTTCTCTATAGGCGCTCGCTTCTCTTTTACATGCATTTTACAAGGATGCACAGATTACGTGTACCAACAAAGAAATCTCACCTCAAACTCCTTGGTGTGTTTGTGCAAAGCTTTGTGCGCTTTGTCAACTGTATCCTTCACGCTCCAGTAGCTCAGGTCTCGATCCCAGGAGCATATCTTGACGAAGTCTCGGAGTTTCTTCTCTATTGGCGCTCGCTTCTCTTTTATATGCGCGGCCACTTGCGCTCTGAACTGTGCGTAGTAGTTGTAGGTGTTCCAGAGAATGGCTAGGAGTTCATCTGGAATTTAAAAAATATTTTCATAATTAAAGTAGATAGATTTGAGAAGCGACTCCAATCGCTAAACAATTTTACTAACTATTACAGCAGATAGTTGATTTTCATAGATACTTTTCATAGATACTGATCGCTCAATCATCAAATTATGAACATCGATGTCAAATCATAATTTTGATAACCAGAGGAACCATTGGAAAGTTACATCACTTAAACAACTGGTATACTTTTTGAGTAACTATCTTTGCCTACTCGCAAAGATACCTTCATGAGTGTTGTGCGTCATGCAAGTCTTCTGACTGCTCCAAATGGAGAGAAATCTTGAGATAACAAACGTATCTCGCCTATCGTGAGACTCCAAATGCACCAGCTGGCAGTGGAACGAATAGATGATGTCCAAGCGAACGTCAAACTCGGCCAAGCTCGATCGCTCCATGAACTCCCGTAGCACGTTAACGATGCGCGCGCACGATACGTCATGCGTAGCTTCTGACTGCTCCAAGGGAGAAAAATTGACGGGAGAGATCGCTTCTTTCTCTCTCACCCGCCTCTTAAACTTACCTCGCCTGTCATGTGACTCCAAATGCACCAGCTGACAATGGAACGAGTAAATAATGTCCAAACGGACATCAAACTCGGCCAAACTCGACCGCTCCATGAACTCCCGTAGCACGTTAACGATGCGCGCGCAAGATACGTCATGCGTATCTTCTGTCTGCTCCAAGTGGGACTGGATGACGTTGAATAGGTAGAACCAGTATTTGTGCGCTTCGGCTTGCTTTCTGAAAACGTAATATACAAGTTTATAGTCAGTATTTACTATATTTTTTCTACTTAGCTCGCCTGTCAATATACAAGGGCATGCGAAAAATATGGGCCTACAAAAACACTTAAGAAATGAAGAANTCAAAAGTAGCTCTAATTGGTTCGTCTAAATATACGCACGGTGCAGTCCCCTCCATGGAACTAGGCTTAACATGCTCCCGCATGTCTATAGTGTTTGCTCAATGTTGATTTAGTCGATTGTCTCCTGATGGGAACATGTAAGACAAAAATAAAATTTCCAATTTTACAGACCTTCTAGAGCAGATGCCGCAAAAACTATACAAGATATAGAAAAACTTGACAGTCTCACCTGTAGCAAATTGAATAAGCTTTTTTTGGTTCATAGTAGACATGTCACTAGGACGCATAGTTTCCGAGGATTAAGCGAAAAACCGAAAAGTGGTACCTTTAAACCCCCCTCTCCCCGCCGGCTCAAGGGCTAAGGGCGGGGACTTTTGCTATGTTCACCACCTAACTAGGCTAAATAAAGTCCCGAGGTCAGAAATTGTGTTCCACGGATTTCTCTCTACACCGTCGTTAAGGCATTCATTGACTGGACTATATGTGCTGTCGAAAGTTCGTAAAAGCGGAACGGTAATGGTGAGCTTTATCTAATAATTTTATCGGTACCTACACGAAATAATATTCGTTTATAAAAGTATCAATATGCTAATTGATCAGTGATGAATTGTGATCGAATCAGAAATGAGGAGATCCGTAGGAGAACCAGAGTGACTGACATAGCCCGCAGAATAGCTAAAATCAAGTGGCAGTGGGAAGGGGAACATAACTAGGGGGACCGACGATCTGGTGTAGGTCGTGGGAGGTGCCTGGATGCGAGCGGCGCAGGACCGGTCTTTGTGGAAATCCTTGGGGGAGGCCTTTGTCCAGCTGTGGACGTCTTTCGGCTGAAACGAACGAACGAACGCAATTGTTTTATTTTCCTTTACAAATACGCTTATTTAATATAGTTATTGTGTAAGCATAGCTTTATTGACTTCTACGCGGGCCCAAATCGTAGCGTAAGCTCGCTCCCTTTTTTGCCCGTAATCGCCGGCGAGGTCGCGCCGAGTTAAACCGGGATTATGTTTTTGTTAATCGTTTCATACATTCGGAATTCTATCCACTGGTAGGTTTCACAAAATCTAATAAAAAGTTTGTGACTAGTGCTGTAATTATTTGCCAGTGGATTACAAAATATAAGCTTTATTATGCTGATATTTTGTAATTTTTGGGCTGTGCTGATTAGCGGCCGTCAGTCTTGGATAGATATTGAAAATACTTACTCGTAAATACTCGTAAGTACTTAAATACTTATGGTATACTTAATTACGTAGGAAGGCGCTGGATGCAGGCCGCTACCATTCAGCCTTTGTGGAAATCATTGGGGGAGGCCTATGTTCAGCAGTGGACTTCCTATGGCTGAAATGATAATGATGATGACTTAAATACTAGTTCTATGCCAACCAACAATTTTTAAGCTGAATTGTTTATATTAACAATTTTTACTAATTTCAACTAACTTTAATCACTTCAGTAGCCCACTAGGTGTTGGGCTCGATTCGTGTAAAAACTCCAGTGCACGTCAAACTGGTTTCGTGCCGGTCGCCGGAAACTTAATGTTAGGGATGCTTCAAGCGGACAGATGCTTGCGTTAAGGGTTTGTGGGTATTTTTGCAGAATTAGGCATTTGTCAAATTAGGTTTTGGGACTAGTCTATTAGTATCAAGACTTTTAAGTAGTCAAATTCAAATTCTTTATTAGCATGTAGGTTTTTTTATATACAACACAGAACAAAAACGGTACAGCAATAGGCCTCAGGCAAGCAGAGTTTACATAAATTCAAGGAATTGTTTATAAAAGCTTTGTTGAGCCGAGGAATGTGTTGTCAATAAAGCTTGCTAAGCGGTTCGTGTAAAATCTATCATTGAATAAGTAGGTATATTAAGTTTTACGTGTTTTTATAATAATCCACAAAGCCATAAAATATTTACTTAACTCCAGGTAAAATAGTAATATCATTGAGATAATTTGTATCTGTAATATCCTTCTGAAGTATACATACCTATAAGTTACGCAAAGCTTCGTTTCCAAAGCTTCGCACAAAGGCCAAACTTATACAAGTTACGCGCAAACCGTCGTACGTATGTGAGCGATGACGTAACGACAACACCCACTTCAATACGTATTAGTAGGTATAATATTATGAGCGTGTAAAGATGGTTAATACTGAGCTGAACAGCGCAAAATTGAGTCAAATCAGTTCATGATGTACGGGAGATTTTAAAGAAAGGTAAGGAAATTAGAATCATACAAAAGAAGTAGTGTTCCAATGTCGCGCATTGAGTCTAAAGAACGGGAGAACTTGAAAGGTATGGAATGTTGAATCATTAAAAAAATAAGTGTTACATTTCCTTTCGCTATGGCCTAATTTGAAAAGAATATTGTTGACCCAATGAATATTGACAAGTAGCTTACTCATATCTACAAGATATTATAATGATTGGAAATGTTTGTAAAATAAACAAGGAACATAAAAAAATACGTTTTAATTTGAAAGAAGGGTGATTTATAAATTAAAACTACTTAATAGGTAACTGTTATTGTCGAAAGGCATTGGATTGATTTGAATTAGGGATAGCTTACTTGCTTTAATAATATAAAATTACGCTTGAAACGAGCATTTTATATAACTGATCGATATTGACTAATTTAAACCAGTTTCCCCTGTGCTCTAAAAATACTTCGTACAGTAATTGTTATAAATAAAGTTAAATTAACAGCGCCCTGGTGGTGACAAGAGGACACGTTGTATGCTAGAAGTAGGGTGACCATTAATGCATTAAATTATTAGGAAAAGCTTACTTAAATTTGTAAGACGATCGACCAATCAAAAATTCGTTTTGGTGACGAGAAAACCGTACAACGAAAAGTCAAGTTAGCGTTACAAGACAAGAGTTAGGTTTTGGTAAGCAGACGACCTCTTGCTAGAGTTAGGTTTTGGTAAATCAGACAATCATTTTAGATTTTGGTTTCCAGGTAAAGTAAACGCAAATGTTATGTTTTGGTAATCGGCCAACCTAACATCCAAGAGTTAGGTTTTAGTAATCGGCAAACCTAACATCCAAGGGTTAGGTTTTGGTATCCAGACAGTAACAAATTATCTAATTCATCTTTTGATGACCCAATTAAACAAACACCTCATTTTATCCAACCTTTTATCTCATAATTATGGGCACCACATCGACGTGGTTCACGCCACAAGGCCGTGTCTTCGAGCTTGCAATCAAATGTATTTCAGGAGCTTTTATTGTTTTATGAAGTTTAATGACTGAAAGCTCCTACGGGAACATTTGCGATTATCTACTTACTATGAATATGTTAATGTTATTTCTACAATATTAATGATAGTTATTATTTTAGTAGGAAAACAAATCGCAGAGAAATAGGAAGAGGTAATCATGGGGTAGATATGTATGTCTTGCCATTTATTGTCCCGAAGCAGTGGTAGGGTTAATACTGGGAGGTTTAACAGTGCTTAAAAGTCTACTTGCAAAAATAAATGATTTTTATAAGAGTTTTCATTAGTTCATCGCAGACTTATAGAAATTGTTATGAAACACAAGTAGGACTAGTTAGACATAAAATCCAGGTTAATGATGTAATTATCACAATCTAACTGAAACGTACTAACAGAAAATAATGATTTTAACTACTAATTGGGCTTATTTATATTTTAATAAATAATTCGCTAAAACAACATTAATCATCATATTGATTACGTTAACTAAAGATTAACCTTGTTATATTTAAAATAATAGGTACAGCTAAAGTTGTATTTGAGCACAAGGATTTACCTTTTCAAATTGGATTAAGGTAATATGGTTTTAAAATTCTGTAAATATGTATTAGGAAATTTCTTAACATAGATTAGGTAGGTACCCCTTTGTTTAAAGAAAACTTGAAATCTAATCTAGTTTAAGTAAACACTAAGTAAATACACGTAATAGGGGAAAGTAGTACGAGATGATCCCCTTAAGCGGGAATCGCTGTAAAATACATATTTTTCGAGGTAAACCAAAAATAAAGACGATTACTACTAGTATATTTATCTATCCAACTTTCCTAATACTCAAAACCAGAAATTAATTGAGGTTTCATTGAAATATTTAATTTTTTGCAAAACCTTACAAAGTGATCATCTTGTACACCCCTGTGGGTAAGATGATCCCCCAGGTAGGGGTAAGATGACCCCTATGATTCTATTCTATGATCTATTCTTTTCTGGTTGTATTCCTTTCTGAGTACCTAATTATGCGAACAAATAGTTCAAAAGTTATAAAAGAAAAACATTTACGTATTAAATAACGAAAATAACATATTCTTCCTTAGCACCTGACAAAAAGCGTTAAAATAATTTAAGCGCTTTTTGGCTGGAGCTGTGTTGCATATATCACAAATAAATTCACCTGCTTCATCACCCTCTACCCCAGCACATGCTATATGGCCCCATTTTCCATATGTACAACATTATATTCATCCTTCACCCTTGGTATCGCCTGAAAATTTTTTTTGTTCAGTATAGCCACTCAGTATCATTTTCTTTAGACTCAGGTGAGTTTTATGAAGTTCTCTTTCTTTTATTTGACTTTCCTTTACCTACTCCATTGCCTTTTTTGTTATAATTCCTAGGGATCATCTCGTACACATAGGAAGGGATCATCTTGACCCAAGTCCCAATTTTTGTTAAATTATTTGCTAAAACAATACGGCTACGTTTTTATGACCAAAATATTAAAATCAAACATAATATAAAGCCTAACCACAGCAGTAATTACATTTACCATTGTTTGAATAAAAGTAACATAAGCTCAAAGTCATGCCTATTTTAGATCCGTAGTACACAATTTTTCTTTTTTCTCGTCAAATTCGATGTATCGCTCACGCCACGATTACGATTTGACTGAGGCGGGGATGTGTCCAGAGCTATGTTTTACCAGTGAAAGAAACTAAATAGCGTTAGTGGTTTCAGCACAATCGCGAAAGATCATCTTACCCCAGGGGATCAACTCGTACTACTTTCCCCTACATCGAGGCACTCGAGAATACGTTGTCGTTACATCAAAAGATAAATGTGAAATATTTCAGACACATCCTATACCGTGATTGAGTTAACCGATACATCGGGAATCAGCGTGTCTGGGAGCTCTTAGCGAGATCCATAAAGAACCAGTAATCCATCGAGTGGCTTCACTACGACTAGTGATGTGCCGGATGTAAAGGACTAGTCAAACTAACAGACGAAAGTAGAGAGTGAGAAAAAGTGTGTGTGAAAAAACTGGCAAAAATGCAAAGTTCGGATCATGCTTCTGAGTATTGATGATGATTTTCACATTTACTAGATTTTATCTATCACTTTTTTGTGTCCTTTACATTCTAATGTACATAAATTTTAGTGATAAAAACAACTTATCAAAAATAAACTTTAAATTTAGTTATTCATCATTTTTATCAAAGCCTTAGTCCTTTGTTGTCGTTTTGTTAGCCATCATGTAAATCTTCGACATCCTATAATCTAACTAGCTATATGGCAGTATCTAAGTCAAAAGACTAGTAGGTACTCTGAAGTACTCTGTAATTAAAACACAAGTTTAGTTAGTTGACAATTATTTCAACTAGTACCCTGACTAGTGCGTAATCTATTTGTCCCATCACTAACCTCAATTCTGGAGGATACACGCGCGATATCCATACGCTGAGTGTAATACACTGCATGTCAAAGGGAGTTAATGCTGAATTTTGCACACTCCATGGAAACCAGACTCAAAATAGGCCCTGAATATTTTACGCAAATACTTAACAATTTTACGCCTTTGCCCGTTAAAAGCTCGTTATGTCAATGTCAGGAACGAAAGGGTGTGTCGAAAAAGAAAATTAATTAGTTCCAAACAAAACAAGAGTTAATGAGTCAAATGCAGGCGAGTGGCAGGAGACGATCAATAACTTCATAATCATCATAATTGTTAATTATCCTTGCATTGTTTTCTAGACTTATCGTATCTGAAAGACTCTCTTTAGAAGAGGTGGTCCCGCATTCGGTTCCTAGTTGAAAGTTTAGGATAATAATTAAAGCTCTCAGTGTGAACGTGTTTTTACAGCTTACATAGTGTACATTTCAATGGGCCATACATACGAGTAAATGGATAAATAATGTCCTTATTCAGCGTTTAAGTAGATAATGGTTGTCTCGAAATAAACTTCTATCGGAACTAAAAGTATCTGTCATTTGACTGCAAAAATATATTTTAGAAATTGAGACGAGGAAGTTGCAAAAATGATATCAATTTTCAAAAATCGCCATTCGAACCTTTAAGGCTAGATTGCACCGTCTTACTTTAACGTAACTATAACGATAACCAGTGTTTAATGTATGAAGTTTGACAAATTTTTCACGGTTGTTAAAGTTAAAGTAAGATGATGCAACCCAGAACTTCATATGTCCCTTTTCTCGTTTCTACAAGTTCAGCAGGTATTCTAAACTACGTGTTCGAGATTCGCTGCTCAAATAGGCTATTCATAAATATGTGAGCAGCAGCTAAGTGACTGCTGCTAACAGACTCGCATCTTGCGGTCTGAATATGCATGCGATGTCGGCCATGATACGAGTAGATGCATGGGATGCTCTATCAATAACAAAGTATTTTTTAGATTATTAATTAAGTAAGTACGAGTAAGTACTCGTATCTGATCCAAGTGATCCAACCCGGTCTACGATACATTTGGAAAAACAAAAAAGTTTCTTACGTTTTTTTCGGGCATAGTTGGCATAACTAAGTTTTTCTTTGGTACTGGTTCGATTTTCCGGGAAAAATCTGGCTCTTAATGAGTCTTTACGCTGATTTGTGAATCCAATGTCAGACTAAAAAGATTGGACAGACTGAAAGAAATTGCGTTAAGTGTTGATCTATACAATTATAGAAACGGTAAGTAAGTATATTTCTCTTGGTCTGCTTGCATCTTTCTAGACTAAAAACTTTTCCAAGTCCCGTAAGTACAGTTGCAGTTCCATCAGAAGCGGCAAAATGCTCTCCAAGCCCCGTAAATATAGTTGTAGTTGTATCAGAAGCGGCAAAATGCCCTCCATTGACAGCGAACGTCGCCAGTAAGTGATGGCGAGGATTTACGAGGGGATCCAGCGGATAAAATGAACGGCCAGTAGGTATTTGTTTTCCTTTTCAGAGGAAATTAAAATAATAAATAATATGTCCGGCCTGTGAGGGTTAAAATTTGGTGCAAGTGGCTTTCGAGGTTGCTATAGCGCGAGCTAGTTCATTTGTTTATAGTCCTACGATTTTAAAACGTCAAGTGGCAAAAATCAAAATTTAAAATCCCAGTATTGATAGTAGCGCCCTCTTGTAAATATCATATTTTATGGTTGTCCAATTGTCACCACATTAGACAATAATCGGAACTAATCATCCAGCATTGATAGTTGCGTATAGCGCCCTCCTGACAATGTCATGACTAGGACGGTTCAGTGTAAGTCATCTATATGTACCTTGTTTTTGATTATCGCTGACAATTGACCAGCTCAGTCATACTCATAAGACATAAGTAGTAAGACATAAGAGTCATACTCTTTCAAACTATAGTTCAGATTCAGAATAAGTAGAAAATGCGTTCCAGTGCGGGAATGCGCCGGTGACCTAAAATAACTTCAAACTTCAAATTACGTATAATGACAACGTTTTCATATAAATAGGTCTTATTAAACGATGACATTTTGTGGTAATGACATTCTGCTTCTCTGGCTCGTTCGTAATCGGTTAAATAAGCTCTTTACACATATATTTTCAGTTCAGCATGCCATCTTGTATTCTTTTTTTTTTTTTTAATATACACTATGGCTTTGCTATACCTCCTGCCAGTGTCAAGTAAATAATGGGAAAACGGGGTTTCTCAGATCCCTTGGCCCGGTAAATTAGGCAGTGCGGTTAATGACCTGGGCCTGAGGCGAAATCTCATCATGCAGAATGATTTTTAAAAAAGGTAGCCTTAGTTGACTTGACACCTGGTGAGTTAGAGTTTTTGCCTCTTTACATGGTTTTTGAGTATGTAAAAATATAAGAAATGATTTGATTTGATTATCAATTCGAAAATGGAACACTGCATTATTTGCAAGCAGTAAGCTGGTATCTAGTCTAAAAAATAATAGACAATAGTATCAATTTTCAGTTCATTACAAAATATATATTTAGTAAAATAACGCCAGCTATGACTCTACGTAAAACAGAATTAAGGATTCATTTCATGAAATATTATAAAACACACGTTTCGAGAATGTAGAGACAGTGTTTGTTTAAACAAAAGCAAAATGGACATCCCTAATTAGTCTCACAATAAATAAAGCCGTGACAGGGATTTCGTTTACCCTCGCCACGGCTCTACATGTTAAATTAATGGCAATAGTAACAACAAAATAAATCGGACGATAGGCGAATAAAGAGTTCATTACAAATTATATACAAAAAATACAGCCATGGAAATTCCCATTATGAAGCCGGCGCCGGCAACATATTTTATTTCGTGCGAAACACTCGGGATTATTCGTTTCACCGCAAAATGCCCAATCGGTCATGAGACTAGTCGGGCGACTGGTCCGCTGGCCGAGCCGGCCTCCAGATCTCACCACCAACATAAGAAGAGCTGCTTATCCCCTCACAGTATAAAGAAATCAGGAAACCCCAAGAGGAGCGATGAGCTTCTGTACAGCTCCGCGGATATTGGTGGCGAAAACAACCGACCGTAAGATTTTACGAAAATTAACTTTAAGGGGTACTTCAATCTAAACCTTTAGGAGATTAGGGTTTCCACGTAAGCGTATACATTAGGAGGCTTAGGGTCACTCGTGTGGTTTCGTCTTTTTGTGCCGGCACGAGTTAGGGCACTCGATTGAATGTAAATGATTGCCAAGTTACGATGTGGATGTATGAGTACGCGATGGGAGGATTGGAAAGCCCTTAGGTTAAGCGATATGGAAACTTTCCGACCTTGACCGATATTTGGGCATATAAATTGGCTTTAGGCTTCTATAATGAACGTTCATTGAGTTTAACAGGAGTTTGTTAGTTTTCATTTTGTTTTGAAAGCAAAATAAACCCAAGATGAACAAGCAAGCTCCATAATCATTTTTGTTGCAAAATCGCACCTATTACAAACTCTATAAGATGCGACACAACGCCTTAAATACCTAAGATTTTGCAACAATATTGTATTGTCTAATATGCTGTCGACTGTATATTGTCAATTTCAATTTCGAATAGGCCTGAATAAATTATCATTATACTCAATACTATGCAGTTGCTGGAGCAGTCACATTAGTGGTTGATGGAAATCCGGAGTAACAAATAATGGCGGCACTCTAAATTATGGAGAATACTCTGTTCGCCAAAGTTACAGACATCACATTAAGCTAAACACTGTGGCATCTTTTGTAGATGTAATAAGAGTGATATTGCAACATAAATGTACAGTCTGATGTGCTGGTGACTATAACACACGATGTAGAGACAAGCTATTAATTTGAGATTACAGATCAAAAACCCGTAGGTAAAACAAAATTAATTTTACAAAATAATTGTAAAGATAGTACCTATACGAGTAAGTTGGTGAAAAGTACATAAATAAATAAATTTTGTGAGATTTTTTTTAATGAAGGTTAAGCATAAGAGAGTTGGTTCCACCAAAACTATTTAAATAACTTGTTGGTGATCAAATAAATACGTGTGTCAAGGACAGGAATTAAAAAGAAATTAAAACAATTATAGATTCAGACTTTCGAACAAACGCAATATGGCTTTTATTTTTGCTCTCTTCGTAACTATGAAGAGAATCAACGTGCCCTGATCAAACGGAGAGCCTCAGAAACAAAGAGACTGATAACTCTAATACCCTTTTAGATGTATCTCAATCACAAAATGCAGGTGTGTTTGTTCGTAATAAAGTGTAAAATACTTTCTTACATTACTTCTGCCTTTGTGATTCTATTCTAACCCGTGGTTCTAAAATATAGGCAGGCGATAAAAGTTAACGGCTTGTCACCTCCATTTAACTGCGTTTGGTTGATGTTCTTTATCACAATCACATGACAAGGCGTAATTTTTATCACCGCGTTCCAGAAAGCGGGATCAAGCAATTAATCATCTTACCTTTGAAGAAGAGATTGAGAATATTATTAAAATTGTAAACATTTGGCTCAAATTAATCCGAGCTTATTACGGCTTTTGACAAGAGGTTTCTAGATTTAACATAAATCGAATCAATCGTATCTATACGAATCCTTGAACGTGTTTGGTGCTGAAGTTGCAACGTATTTTCAGATCCATCTATCCCTCTTGTACTCAAAGTGGGATTGGTAGAGCCAAAAAAACATACAATCGAATTGGGAACGTCCTCCATTTTTTTGAAGTCGGTTACAAACAAACAGTGTAAATAGTCCTTCTTTTCCACTGCTGGACAAAGGCCTCCCTCAAGGAATCAACAGCGAACGGTCCTAAGCCGCCAGCATCTAGATTCCAAGTCCCGCAACCTTCACCAAACCTTCGATCCATCGAGAACTCAATTTAAAACTAAAACGACTTTAAAATACGGCCCGAACGAAAACCTAATAAACGACCCGAAACAAAAACCGATCAAAGTTCGATTTACAAAGTAAATGCTGGCCAAATAACAATAAAATCGATACCACCTGACGATCTAAACTATGCTATTGCACT